GGATGGTGCCGAGTGTCCGGGGGAGGGTGGTTGGTTGAGGAGGTAGCGGCAGGAGCCGCAGCGGCAGCTTCGGGCGCGCGCGCCGGCTGAGGCTCGGGCAGTGAAGATGGCATGCTGCTCTGAGTCATGAAAGGCATGATGGTGCCAGGTGCCAAGTTGCCGTAATTGGGAGGGCCACCGTAGGGCATCATGGCCATCGGGTTGCCAAAGTTCGAGAGGCCGCCGTAGGGCATCATGGGGAAAGGTGTGAAGGATGCCGTCTGCGAGTTGGGTGACGGTACAAGGTTCATGGGCTGCGTCATCTGGGATGACAGCTGCAAGTTCGGTCCACAATTGCCTGGTGAGCCGGACGCGGTGCCGGTCGCAATGCTATGCAGGAGCGAATGCATCATGTCATAGAGCTGGTGTCCAGCCATCTCGCAAGGGAGAGAGAAGGTTGGAAAGGGGTGAAAACAAAACCACAACTGCGGCAAAAATGCGTCAATGGTGCAAATGCATGCGAGCCAACTTCAACCTGCGAATCGAAACCAAACAGAGGGAATTCCACCAGGGGACCGCCAAAACCCCGCGGCAACGGCAAAAGTTTCCACAGAAATGCATGCGAGCACAAAGGGGTTCTCAGAGGTGCCTGTCAAGTGGCCTCATGAAAGTGCCTCATGTGGCTATGCCGATGAATCTGAACTGAACTCATCCGAGACGAAAGCTTCCATAAACGCCACGAATCGCAGAGTTGGTGTATGACCAACTCGTCACTGGCGCATGAAGCTTAGGAGCCTGAAACCTCGTGGGTGCAGCCTTGCTTCAAAGGCAGGCAGTGCAGGCAGTGCAGGCGCATGAAACCAGCAGAGCACCATTTGGGTGCGGAATACCTTAAGACCTCAAGCTGCAGCCTTGATCGTGGTCAAACGCGCTGAACTGAACTGCAGCTTGAACTTGAACACTTGAACGGTCTTCCCCTCGCAGGGGGCTCCCGCATATGGCGAGTCCAGCCCACAGCGCCATGTCGGACAGGCCGTGGGTAAACACACTTATCTCGAGAGGCTTCACTAGCCGAGATGCAAAACGCAGTCAGTAAAAATGCTTGAATGCAAATGCAAATCAACAGGTCACAACATCGACACCGAACAGGAAGCAACAGCGACAAACAGAAACCGCAAAAAGAATCAGGAAAGAGGGTCAGGAAATAGGCAGGTACGCCGGATTGATCAGATCCGGTATCCACCGAAATGCCGTAGCTTCATTGGACTGGATAGGCAAATCGGCTCCAGTCCCCCTGCAATGTGGAATTTCCGTCCGTGCTCCAGGACGCTTCACACACACACACACACACACACACACACACACACACACACACACACACACACACACACACACACACACACACACACACACACACACACACACACACACACACACACACACACACACACACACACACACACACACACACACACACACACACACACACACACACACACACACACACACACACACACACACACACACACACACACACACACACACACACACACACACACACACACACACACACACACACACACACACACACACACACACACACACACACACACACACACACACACACACACACACACACACACACACACACACACACACACACACACACACACACACACACACACACACACACACACACACACACACACACACACACACACACACACACACACACACACACACACACACACACACACACACACACACACACACACACACACACACACACACACACACACACACACACACACACACACACACACACACACACACACACACACACACACACACACACACACACACACACACACACACACACACACACACACACACACACACACACACACACACACACACACACACACACACACACACACACACACACACACACACACACACACACACACACCACACACACACACACACACACACACACACACACACACACACACACACACACACACACACACACACACACACACACACACACACACACACACACACACACACACACACACACACACACACACACACACACACACACACACACACACACACACACACACACACACACACACACACACACACACACACACACACACACACACACACACACACACACACACACACACACACACACACACACACACACACACACACACACACACACACATTCGCGCGCGCACACACACACACACACCCAGACGCAATTGTACCAGCTGGCATGATTTTTCAAGTTCTAACTCCTGCAAAATAGGCTCTTGCATCACTTTTTAAGCCTACAGTAATGTCCGAATGGGATTAGTAAAGGGGGGACCCCCCCCTCAACCATGGGGGTATCTAGTCAAAGGAAGTTTAGAAGGAACTTCCGTGTTACGGCAACTAATTGAAATCTAGCTCTCTGAGACAAATGACAAGAGAAGGAATAAGCCCGCGAGAAAAATGCGCGCGCGTGTGGCAGGGGAAGAGAAAGTCGCAAAAAGGCGTGGCCCTGTGCGTGAATCGGCATTTTCGCAGATGAGAAAGTCGCAAAAAGCGTGGCCCTGTGCGCGAATCGGCGTCTCCGGAGATGCGAAAGCTAGCCTGTCCGCGGCGTCTGGTCGGAGCGGGCTCGGAGCGGGGTCGGCGCCGGGCCCATTGGCACGGCAACGCAGAGGTTTTGCAAGGCTTGAATTGCGTGGCAGGCGCAGCATTTTGGTGAGGTCGGGTGCGGATTTCGTGGCAGGCGCAGCACTGTCGCAAGGTCAACGTTTCTCAAGGTTTGAATTGCGTGGCAGGCGCAGCGCTTTCGAACAAATACATAGATAGAGAAGAGATAAAAGAAAGAACGGAAAAACAAGCAAAACGAAAGAAAGAAAGAAAGAAAGAAAGAAAGAAAGAAAGAAAGAAAGAAAGAAAGAACGAAAGAAAGAAAGAAAGAAAGAACGAAAGAAAGAAAGAAAGAAAGAAAGAAAAAAGGGCGGAAGGAAGGAAGGAAGGAAGGAAGGAAGGAAAGAAAGAAAGAAAGAAAGAAAGAAAGAAAGAAAGAAAGAAAGACAGGAAGACACACAGAATGACGGAACAAAGAGAAACCGTGAAAAGGAAGAAGAAGACAAAACAAATCAAGAAAAGAAAGAGACGCAAAACTAGTGTTTATATTCTTGAAACTTCCGCCCACCGGCTTCGCCGGCTCTACTGGAATAGTATCTTGAGATCCAGGTGAAGTGAGTTTCCATTTCATTTAGTATTGGTAGACTTGAGTTTCCATTTGATTTAGTATTGCTGGAGCTTCCTTTTGAGATTTGAACCTGGGTTTCCACGTGATGTAGTATTGCTGGAGCTTCCTTTTGAGATTTGGAACTAAGTTTCCGCTTGATTTAGTATTGGTAGACTTGAGTTTCCATTTGATTTAGTATTGCTGGAGCTTCCTTTTGAGATTTGGAATTGAGTTTCCATGTGATTTAGTATTGGTAGACTTGAGTGTCCATTTGATTTAGTATTGCTGGAGCTTCCTTTTGAGATTTGGAATTGGGTTTCCACTTGATTTAGTATTGCCGGAGATTCTTTTTGAGATTTGGAACTGAGTTTCCATTTGATTTAGTATTGCTGGAGCTTCCTTTTGAGATTTGGAACTGAGTTTCCATTTGATTTAGTATTGGTAGACTTCAGTTTCCATTTGATTTAGTATTGCTGGAGCTTCCTTTTGATTGAGTTTCCATTTGATTTAGTACTGGTAGACTTGAGTTTCCATTTGATTTCGTATTGCTGGGGTTTCCTTTTGTTTTTCTTGGGGGGGGCCAGGCAACAAGACTTTATTTCGGGGGCCCCTGAAATAATGTCAAGTTGGGGGCTGAAGTACTACCCCCTGTGTGGGTTTGATTGTTTGCAGGTTTTAAACAAGAGACACGTAGGAAACCATGGGTTTGGTAAAGCTGACAATTTTGGATTTGAGGAGCAGGCCCAAATCTAACAACACAGCATGAAGCACTCCAGCCTCACCTAGGCTGTCGAATTACTTGACTAGCTAAGAGGCAATTGCGCTGGGCAGGTTGTATTTTTCAGGGGGCCGGGCAACAAAACTTTATTTCGGGGGCCCCTGAAACAATGTCAAGTTGGGGGCTGAAGTATTACCCTCTTTGTGGGTTTGATTGTGGGCAGGTTTGAAACAAGAGACATGTAAGAAAACATGGGTTTGGTAAAGCTGACAGTTTTGGATTTAAGGAACAAGGTACCAAAGATCCAAGGACCAGGTGTTGGCTTGGCTATCTCTCCTCTCCTTTCTCTCATTTTTTCTCTTTTTTGGGGGGAGTTGTTTTGTTTTTTTTTTTGCGCGCGTGGCGGGTGCTTGTCTTGAGTCCAGGTGCATTTATTAATGTTTGTTGGCCCCCCATTTGTCTTTATTACGCGTGCATTTTTTCAATCCCATTTGGACATTATACACATGATGTCCGCAAACAAGACCTCCAAGAAGAGAAATAGATGTGGCAAAAATCTTTGTTTTCTTAGCACCACATTATTGAATGTAGAATCCCAGAAGTTTTACGAAATGGTCCCAAATGCAGGAGTCATCAAGATGTAAACTTCTGGTTGATAGCGTATAGGACTCCAAAGATTGGATCGAAGAAAGCGTATCAGAATGAAGATCGCCCAACATCAAGAAACAACATGGGGTTCAGCCCATTTAAAGTTTTAGCGTGACTTTTGTCGAGGGTACCCTTTTGGACTGAGAAAAGGGGTCCATTTGGAGGGATCCATGTCAGATCGAATTTGGAGACATGCCAGCACACCAACCATTTAGGAACCCATGTCAAGGCAAAGTGCCGACCTGGTCAATGCTTGAAACACAGGCATTTGGTGAAAAAGGTTGGAATATTAGGTAAAGCGGGAGCCCGGAAAATTCGTGAAAATCTGAAGCGCTTCTTTGTAGCGAAGAAGGGCGGTCCTTGACCCGGAGACTCGAGTCAGATTTCCGATTCCCACAGGCGCCGCTTTTGGAGGCGGTGCGGGACTACCAGGCGCCAAGTTAGGGATCCGTTTGTTCGGGCGGTGTCAATTCTTTGGGGTGTTAAGGGAAAACACAAGGTGAACTACCCGGAGTCCCACATTTTGAGTGGTTTTGGGTTCCTATGGTCGAGCTCCTAGAAAGATGAACTGATTTGGCCAGTTAAAGCCCGCGTGTCAGCTCCGACTAGCATTAGTTGAAGGGTGTGAGCGGGAAATGTGTGGCACGTATTTGCCAATCTATGTTGTATCTATCTAGTTGTCCATCAAGTAGGCAACAAATAATTGATTATAGCTGATAGTTGAGCAAGCGTCCCCGTGAAGGTCCCTTGGATCCCTGACTTCATCAGAATGGGCATCCAGCTTCCAACAATTCCCTGCCATATTTTGGAAACATGCGATGCGCACGCAAACATTTATGCCCACTGGTTTGTTCAGCCACGTTTTGAGGGTCGCTCGAAGTTGGTTGTGATCTAGCCCGTTGTCCCCTGTAACCAACAGAGTCCTTGGATTAATCAAGTAATTAAACTTCTGCCAAAAGGTAACCTTGTTCTTTCCAAGTACAGGAGGGATGCAGACGAGCTGACCAAGAATAGGTCGTCCCATCGACCACTGCCAGTTACAAGTGACCCTGGCGAGCGCAGTAGGGAACGGCCACTTCATCAAGCATGCATAAATGGCACGGCCGAAGGAGAAGTGGGGGTGTTTTGTGTTTGTTTCTTAGTGGGACACACCCAAAAGTCGCAAGATCAACAGAAAAGTGTCTAGCCCCAACAAGTTCGACCCACCTGTGCTCGACTTGACCAGATTCTCCAGATTTGTTGCCTGTTACCGACATCCCGACGGATGTGGAGCAGCACTGTGAACAAAACGTGGGCACTGCCGGTGGAACCCAACATAGGAGTAGCCAAAAGGAGGTGCCTCAAAAACCCCCCATGGTTTTTGGGGGTTCCACACCGGTGTACTAGTTGGCAAGGCTTTCTGAAATGGCCAGGTCAAGAAAGCCTTGAAGTCACAAGGGCGCTGAGAACGAGTCAGTCCTGGATTTTTGCTGGATAAGAGGAATTCTGTGCACTATAAGACCCCTCCTGTACTCCCCCCTCCCACCCATTCGAGTGTTTTGAGAGGCCAACGCAGCTTCGCCTATCGCCCATGATTGCTTAACACAGAATCAGAAAGCCGTCAGTCTTCGCCGCTCTTGGTGCAGAGCGCTATTCGTGTTTTTTTCCTCGAGAGCTGGGAGGGTGCATCGCAGTGCGGAAAGGAATCGGCAGCGAGATGCAAGGCGTGCGCAGAGACCTGTTTATTAAGAGCTGAAGACAAAACACAAGCTATGCGTCTCAGTTTTGGAGGATAGGACAAGGGGCAGCCAATAATTGCCATTGGCTTCTTATTTTGGTTTCCGAAGCCCATCGCAATCAGGTACCACAAAGGTAAGCCACACCCCTGGATCGCTAGATCAGTGGTAAGTCAGTACGTGGGGAAGGCTAAGCTCTGAGGAGTTAGTAAGCTGAAACACCTTTCGGCAGGTTTTGATCATTGTGGGCGAAACTGGTAGCGGCAAGACTACGCAGATCCCGTGCGGGGCCATGGCTTGCATGCTGTGCTTGTGCTTCTTGTCCGCGAGGTGGCTTGGTCCGCTGTATGCAAAATGAATTGACCCAGCTGGGCGCAAAGGAGCCCAAATTCGCTCTGAAAAGGGGATTTGGCAGTACTGCTTTGTTCTGCTTGAGAAAACAAAAAATCAGCCAGGTCGAGGATGTGCTTGCGGACAGCGTATTCTAGTCTAGCAATGTTTCCGAGAAGCCACACAATGTTTGTGAGTTTCACAGAGGTTTCGCCGCTTGCTCACTGAGAGCAAAAGGGCCAACACTGCTGGGTGAAAGGCACGGACTTGGCTGTGATTTCTATTTACACAACCGTCCCTTCAAGTAATATCCACCCGTTGGGTGTTGTCGACAATGGTTGGGAAGTTCCGATGCATGTTTGATCTCCACCAAAGGTGCAACAAATTCAAACTCACCCCAACTTACCTTTCGCTCGCGACCTCAGGCAGTACCTCCACGAAGTGGGCTACTCGAAGATCGGCAAGATCGGGTGCGGTTGGCGGACTTCTGAAGTTTCCAGGGCATCGGATTCCTGACAGAAGTCTTGCTCCAAGCCTTAAAACAGTGAGCAACAGAGGGTAGACATTTGGTATTGTTTGGGCCCATTTGTTCTCCTTTTTCGCGGCCAAGCTTCTACCGCCCTTGCTTTCGACCATTGTGGTCTTCTGGTCGGTTTCCTTTGGTCTTGCATCTTGGGAAGCCCCCTGCCTGGCTTTCAGCCATTGGGCTGAGTTTCCCACCCCAATGCCTTGTGAACCTGAGGTGTAAGGCACAAAGAGAAGGAAAGCGCTGTGTATTGAGAATCAAACTTAATTCAAAGTGAGACCGAAACATACGAGAGCTCCTTGTCTTCCCTGCTCCTTGTGTGATATCGCCAACCATGCGACAGTCTGCAGTTAGTTTACTTTGCTCTGACTTATCTGGTCGCCATTTCAGCTGGGCCATGAAGTTCAAGCTGGACTCACATGGAGCCAAGACGTGTGCCCAGGGTCCATACATCTCGTGTACTAGTGGTGTCATTGGTGTCAACAAAGTGCTGTTTCGCAGATTCCGCCTGTTTAACAAGGTGGATTCTGACCGCGGTGTTCGTGGACTACGTGTCCTTGCACCAATCACCCAGGGGCACGTCGTCGATGAACATGGCGGCATCTGCATTTTGAGCCTTGATCCGAGGAGCTGAGCAAAGACATTGACATGATTGACAAACCTGCAGTCAGGCGTTGCATAGGAACTGCTTTCCACAGTGTCCTGCTTTGGGGTCCGAAGATCCAGTAGTTTTTGTTGAACGCCCGCAGGGGGTGAATTGGACCTGACTTAATGTGGGTCTTGGTTATTTTCCACGTGTGTGCGTGTTTTAGAAAATCAGTGTTTTTGCTTGGCCAAAGCAACGCAGGACATGGGGCTGTTGATTACCTTTCCCAGAAGACTTGGGCCACTCCCCAAACAAAATCAGCTCTCGAGGCTACTTTGTTCTTGTTTCCACTTTCGGGCCTCAAAGCAACCCGATCCCGTGCCAGGTGCACTCAGCCACGACGAGTGGCCGCGATGTCAGCCTGGGACCCGAATTTGGATCTGCTGTGGCTGTGCTGTCTGAAACTTGGGATTGTTCTGGCGATGGGGTTTGACCTGCCCCTGCCCCTTGGCTTTGCAAGACAGTGACTTGGCAAAACCACGATACTGATCATAGCCCTCTCTTGTTTGGGCGTGAAGGCTTTGCGGTGTAGTAAAGTTCTTGAAAAGCAGAGGTAGCAAGCTCCTCAACAAGTAGGAGTAAAGGCTTTGACAAGTGGCGCCCCCGTCCACATTTCTCTACATGCACCAAAGGCCCATGCTCATCCCGCTTCCCATTTCCTCTACAGAAGGCGCTACTGATCAACTTGAATTGACGGGTGTCAGGTGGCTGCCCGCGTGGCTACGGAGTACGGCCGGGAAGCCGAAAGGGAGTGCTTGGTTTCCCTTCAGCACCACCCCAAACTGGAAGCCTATATGAATAAAATTGCTATGAAACTTAGCTTTGGTTGGAATCCGTCACGCATGCTGGTGTGGACGCAACTCCCAAATGTAAATGATGTCCGCTGAAGGGTCTCCCAACTAAAGCTCATAGCCAAAGAATTTGTTGAAAACACAGGCGGTTGGTCCATCTTGGGGCATCTCTGCGGGGCTGTTTCGGCCACCTTTGGCAACCAGACGACTTGATTTGCCATGTTCCATGTGCCTTAATGCATCTGGGTATGTGTTGAAACAGGGGGACCCCCTTTCCTTTGGGTTTCCCTTCAACACAGAGAGGTGCCCGGTCCATATAATGAACAAGCAATTTTCATAGATTTGTAGATGAACAAGCAACATCATTAGTTTAATGTGTTTGTATACATATGTATATTCACATCGGGCTGCTCATTGTATCTTTGTGGCCTGCTCTTGCGGGGGGGGGGCCTAGGTTGCAAGGTGGGCCACGAGGTGGGCTACAATATCCGTTTCGAGGACGGGGTTGGGGGTTGCGGTGGGGGGGATATTTCGGAGGGGGGGTTGTGGGCCGAGGTGGGGTGCGGAGAGGGACCGAAGTTGTTGGCCCCAGAGTGGTTCGGCTCATGGAAACGATTTTTCTTCCTATCCAAGGGTCCAAGACGAATGAGGGGCCCAAACCCACACAGCGATTTGTTGCCAACGACAGCAGACTAAAGGCGTTCAACCGATTCCCAGTTCTCGTCTTTCCGTTTTCCTTCTATGTCCTCGGAAGTCGGTAACTGATGAGGATGTGCCCGGGCTGCAGGCGCTGGCTGTGTGTGCTGTGGGTGCAGCTGTTTGGGGCCCATAAGCCGCCCCTAGTGGTTGCGTTTGGAGGGGCCCGTTCTCAAAATTACTCTCCGGGACGGGAGAGGGCCTTTAACCACGATTTGGCCACCAAGGTGAACCTCACTGGGGCAGCCGTTCACGAATCCGGTGGCCATGCAGCCGCCTTCGATGTCTGCTTCGCGTGCAGTAGCACTATTCATTCAACGCGCTTGAACGCTTGGGCATTGTGGAATTCAGCCGCGAAGGGAGAAGCGGCAGGGTCCATCTTGTGTCCCCAGAAAAATTCGGTGAGAAGCCCCCCCCGCCTCCTCCATTTTCGCAATGTCGAGTTTGTGTGCCCAATTTTGGCTTTCCCTTAGATGACAGTAATTGGGGGGGCGGGGGGATCTTTTTGACGGTGCCAATTTGGTGGTTGCAAAAAAAGGGAACCACTTTTTGCGGGGGGCTCCGATTCCTATTTTGAGTCAACGTGCAATAGCCCATGTCTAAAACAAAACTGCCAAAGGAGGGATGATTTACTTCTACTTCATTTCAAACAAGTATCTCGCACACAGGTTTGAAAAGGAGCCCCCCCCCAAATCACGCGAGCGCTGATTGGGGAGGTGCAACGAGACCTGGGCCCATGATGGCTTTCAACACTGGATCTCTTACACATACCGTTGGTGGGTCACTTGGTCTCTTACACATACTTGGTGCTACTGGCATACCTGGCTTGGGAACAACATTGGGTCCTTTGGTGGGTCCCTCATCTCGGCTCACGGCTTGGTGCTAGGGGTTCCTCTACTCCCAGGAGTGCGTCTCCTTCTTCATGAAATCCGCAACGCTGGCTCAGTAGATGGTCTTTGTAGACTTGTTTGATCGTTTCTGCAACGACCACTTCTTGAGAAGTCGGTATTCCAAAAACTGGCGAGATCGACACATTTGACCTTAAAACACGGACTCTTTTATCCGAAAACAGGTCATTCCCACATTTGGATTGTTACTGGCCATGTTGCGAAGGATTATGTTAAAGTCCAGGACGCCGTTTTGTGAATGGTTCTTTCAAAATCCAGGACGCCGGTTTGCGAAGGATTGTTTCAACATACAAGACGCCGTTTTGCGAAGGATTCTATATTGAAATCCAATTTTGCGGATTCCTTTAAAATCCAGGACCCCGTCGTGCGAAGGACTCTTTTAAAAAACCATTGTGCGAAGGATTCTTTCAACATCCAGAACGCCATTTTGCGAAGGATTTTGTCAAAAGCCGAAACACCGTTTTGCGAAGGATTCTTTCAAAATCTAGGACACCCCCGTTTTGCGAAGGATTCTTTCAAATTCCACGACCCCCCGTTTTGCGAATGATTCTATTTCAAAAAATCAGGACGCCGTTTTGCGAAGGATTCCACGCGGACGGTGACGGAGATGGCGGCGACAGAGGCGATCTTACTGCGGCGGCATCGCCGCCAAGGCCTTGCGACGGACCGCAGCCTTGGCGTGCGCCCGCCAGCTGGGCACAAGCCGAACACGCAGGCAGTCGGGCCTTTCTTCTTCCTGTCGCGGAGGGAGAGGAGCCGACGTGTGCATGCGGTGAACGGGAACATGCACCCCCACTACCCGCAGCGCGTGGTGCGAGCGGCTCGCACAGAGCCACCGCGCGTGACCGCGATGCCGGTCACGCGCTTGCGGCCGCCCCACAAGGAGCGACGGCCCCCGCAGCTACGCGCAGTGTCGTTGAGGCCAATGACGCCCGAGGCCAAAGCCAAGCCGAAGGCAAAGGCGTCGCTGTCCTCCTTGGGGTCGCGGCAGAGGTCGTGAACTCCGTCATCAGCTGCCTTTAGCCCGATCGTGCTGCGCGCCATGGAGACGCAGGTGTTCTTCGCGCGGTATATCCTCGAAAGCACCATCTCGGACGGCCTCAATGCGCTGTCCGTACATATCGGGCGGCCGCCCCCCATTGTGCACGGCTATGTCATCGTGCGCGCGACCAGATCCGTGGCGCGAGCAGCCGCGCAGACCAGGCACCGTGGGCCTGGGTGTGCGGCGTAGCTCGCGGCACGATGCGTGAGCGAGGTGTTGACGGGCTTCACCTCCTTCCGCCCCGAACAGGTGGAGCACTTGTGCTGGGAGTTGGTCGTCTTGCGAAAGATTCTTGTAAAATCCAGGACGCCGTTTTGCGAAGGGTTCATCGCAAAATCTCTTGTATTGCCTGCCCTCCGAAACTGAAAGCCTCAAAAATGGTAAACAATGCCGTGGACGAAGCCTGAACTTTGCGATGAACCCGACCAGGCTTCATCGCGAATCCCAGGTTTGATGTTGGGGCAAGAAACACAAAAAAGCGCAGCGTTCCCAACGTCCCCAACCTCAAAGTTTGTGAAGGCTTCCCCTTTTGCCCAGTGGGCTTGTTGTCTTGGAATGTAGTACTTCTTTAGACTCTCAGGCATCGGTTCTGAACTATTAGGCTGCAGCATGATTTTGAGAAGAATCCAACCAGAATTCATCGCAAAACGTATTTCGGTGAAATCCTGCGCAAAACGGCTTCCTGGATTTTGAAAGAATCCTTCGCAAACCGGCGTCCTGGATTTTGAAAGAATCCTGCGCAAAACGGCGTCATGGATTTTGAAAGGATCCTTCGCAAAACGGCGTCCTGGATTTTGAAAGAAGCCTTCGCAAAACCGGGGGGGGGGGCCTGGATTTTGAAAGAACCCTTCGCAAAACGGGGGGGGTCCTGGATCTAACTTAGAAAGAATCCATCGCAAAACGGAATGCTGGATTTGAAAGAATCCTTCGCAAAACGGCGTCCTGGATTTTAAAAGAATCCTTCGCAAAACGGCGTCCCGGCTATCGACAAAATCCTTCGCAAAAAGGCGTTCTGAATCCTTCGCAAAACGCGTTTTGAATTTCGACAAAACCCTTCACAAAATGGCCTGGGAAAGGAAAGAACCCTTCGCGCAACGGCTTTTTGTTTTTCAAAATATCTTTCGCACATCCTGGATTTTGAAAGAATCCTTCGCTAAACGGCGTCCTGGACTTTAACATAATCCTTCGCAACATGGCCAGTAACAATCCAAATGTGGGAATGACCTGTTTTCGGATAAAAGAGTCCGTGTTTTTGGGAGTAGAGGAACCCCTAGCACCAAGCCGTGAGCCGAGATGAGGGACCCACCAAAGGACCCAATGTTGTTCCCAAGCCAGGTATGCCAGTAGCACCAAGTATGTGTAAGAGACCAAGTGACCCACCAACGGTATGTGTAAGAGATCCAGTGTTGAAAGCCATCATGGGCCCAGGTCTCGTTGCACCTCCCCAATCAGCGCTCGCGTGATTTGGGGTGGGGCTCCTTTTCAAACCTGTGTGCGAGATACTTGTTTGAAATGAAGTAGAAGTAAATCATCCCTCCTTTGGCAGTTTTGTTTTAGACATGGGCTATTGCACGTTGACTCAAAATAGGAATCGGAGCCCCCCGCAAAGGGTGGTTCCCCTTTTTTGCAACCACCAAATTGGCACCGTCAAAAAAGATCCCCCCGCCCCCCCAATTACTGTCATCTAAGGGAAAGCCAAAATTGGGCACACAAACTCGACATTGCGAAAATGGAGGAGGCGGGGGGGGCTTCTCACCGAATTTTTCTGGGGACACAAGATGGACCCTGCCGCTTCTCCCTTCGCGGCTGAATTCCACAATGCCCAAGCGTTCAAGCGCGTTGAATGAATAGTGCTACTGCACGCGAAGCAGACATCGAAGGCGGCTGCATGGCCACCGGCTTCGTGAACGGCTGCCCCAGTGAGGTTCACCTTGGTGGCCAAATCGTGGTTAAAGGCCCTCTCCCGTCCCGGAGAGTAATTTTGAGAACGGGCCCCTCCAAACGCAACCACTAGGGGCGGCTTATGGGCCCCAAACAGCTGCACCCACAGCATACACAGCCAGCGCCTGCAGCCCGGGCGCATCCTCATCAGTTACCGACTTCCGAGGACATAGAAGGAAAACGGAAAGACGAGAACTGGGAATCGGTTGAACGCCTTTAGTCTGCTGTCGTTGGCAACAAATCGCTGTGTGGGTTTGGGCCCCTCATTCGTCTTGGACCCTTGGATAGGAGGGACAATTGTTTGGAAACCTGTTAAGTTGGTTCCCTTGGTTTGCGCTTGTTCATCCTCCTCCTCCTCCTGTTCCTCCTCCTCCTCCTCCTCCTCCTCCTCCTCCTCCTCCTCATGTTCGTCATCATCATCCCGATGAGTCCCGATATTTTTACTTTGTTTTTGGGGGGGTGTGCATTTCCAGATTTCCTTTGAGGGGAGATTGATTCACAGGCTGACTCAATCCCTTCGCAGTCCACTGACTCACCAGAGGGTTGAGCGGCGGCATGCACCAGAGGAAGGGGCAAGCCCAGTGGCTCTCTTTGACCAACACGTTGGGGGGCCCAATGAAAATGGCACGCCCCCACGTGGCCCGAATTTCATCAAGGTCTTTCGCTTTGCCAAGGCTTTCCATCTTGGTGTTTCGCAGGGATCCACTTGAAGCGGCTTGTGGCGGCAATTGGCGACTAAGGCTCTTTAGTGAACAATGTAATCAGTTCCTCCATTCACTGAAGGTCAGGAGAAAATCTTTGTTTGGGTAGGCTGTTGTTGTGTCCTGGTGAGAGTATACTTGACATGCCAAAGGAACATCATGTTCTGTTTGGTAATGGAGGGAACCAAAGGAAACCAAAAGAAACGAAGGGAAACCAAAGGACACCAAAAGAAGCGAAAGGACACCAAGGGAACCCAAAAAGAAACGGGATGTCGGAAGCACAGGACTGCACCACGGACCGCACGATCATTGAGTACATGACAGACGGCATGCTGCTCCGCCAATTCTTGCCACTGCCTCAAAGGGATTCGCCCTCACGCCGACGTATGTGGGCGCGCCATTTTCTGAGGAACCCGCTGTTGGTGCTTCAAAGGAATCTGAGCCGCGTGTCCATTTGCCTCTGGATTGCCAGGAGACTTGCGGCCTATGGAAAGAAACCGCAAAGAGAGGCTGCCGTTGCTGCTCACAGCTCAAGCCTTCGGCTCTCCTATTTTTGTGGACGACCGCCTGAGACATTGCAGGGATTGCGGGCCCATGTTGGTTTCACGAAGGATCATGTTCCTTTGCTTGAAGCTGGCAGTAACGCCGCAGTTATCCTGAAATGTTGGCGCATGTGCCCATCCTGGGTTAATTGCTTGGATATGAGCAGCTGCGATGTTTCGTGATTCTCCAAACTGTCTACCTAGCCATTCATATATGCTGTTTGTTCACATGAATGGCATTGCCCCCCACCCACCCACCCACCAACCAACGCAAGGGGGACAAAGACACCTATTGTCAGCCTATCAAAAGGCAGAAGCTGAAGCTTGGGGTCACCTGTCATATCTGGATGATATCGGAGGGTTGACGCCAACATTCTCACTAAGGTTGGGGTTTGCTCGCGTTTTCGGCATACTTGGGACCGATCCTGCCCTGTTCGCGCCGAGGAACGAGCCTGACATGGCCTCCTACTCCGCCTGAGCCCCGACCTTCGGGCCCTTGACCCACGGGAGGATTCTTGCCACGAAACCCAGGGGAATAACAAAGGAACTCTAAAGGACACCCACAGGGAAACCAAAGGAAAGCTTGGAGCGTCCCAGTCTGAACGTGCCGGTTCTTCTTTGCTTTTGCCCAATATAGGCCAGAGATGTGCCCTATTTCTGCCTGGTTTTATGAATGTCTTAGGGACAACCAAACATGTTTGTTTCTCTTTTCCCTCGGCATGTTTGTTTCTTTTTTCCCTCGGCATGTTTGTTTATTTTTTCCCTCGGCGGTCACAGCGGGTTTGGTTTGCTTTGAGTTTCTTTGGGGGATTCGGGTTATGGATAGCCGTGCGCCCAGGTCATGATGATCGATGAGGCGCACGCGTGGCTGCCCAGCTGGCCAGCAGTTTGGCGGGAGGGCAGCAGGTGGGGCTGGATGGCGATCAGCAGACTTGAAGCTTCATTGGCATGAAACGAAAGCACACCTTGAGACAGACCCATATCGTTGCACACTTATTTGGCCGCGGCTTGCGTCGTTTCGGCGTGTTTGGCGCATGCTTGGGCGAGTGGCTGAGGAGCGGACTTTGCACACAGACGTGCTCTTTGGCTTGGTCAAAGATGCCGCGTGCTGAGAGG